GGGGTTTTTTATCTTAAAAATGTGTTAAAATATCTTACACTGACATTGCCATTATGATTCTGAAATTTCAGTGGCTTGATCTCTTAATAACTAGAGAAACCCATCCTCCACTCAGCCTCAACTTTTTGCCTGATTACCATGCTCTAAGCTTCTTATCATATTTTGCAAGGTAAAACTTCTTTCTATGCAAGTTTATGTACAAAAAATGCAGTCAGCAGGATAAAGACAAAATCAGTGGAAAAAGAATATCATGGTTTGCTTATTACTTTTCTTGCTTCTTAGTCTCTGTACTCCCAGAAATGGACTGGGCATATCTCAGAAACCAGATGCCCCAAGGTACATGTACTTTAGAGAAGTAATGAAGAGGCGCTGTACTTGCAAGCCATGCATGAAAACCAAAGATGTTTGAAGGTTGATCTTTTGACCTAAGTGGACCCTACTTTGCCACCCTGATTGTGTTTTATATTGATACTAAGAAAAATGTTGACATCAAGTGGTGAACAGCACAAATAATTTTTATTGTGCAGGTTGAAACATGTTATATGGAGCATGCCTGAAACATGTGACTTATTGAACCACTGAATAATTGTAACAGCAATTCCAGGCTCCACTTTTCAGTTTAAGCAAAAGTTTGGAGATTTGATCCAAGTTATTTTAAATCATATTTATAGATTATAGAACCATGAATGTCATAATTGGAAGTTAACAGCTTATCTGAACTATGCAATGACAAGCAGGATTAGGAGAAACGTGTTTGTTACAAGCAAGTTTACTCTAAACAGGTTTCAGTGATAATGCAGAGGTCGTAGTATTGGTTTAAACCTCTCAGCCCTGAGGAAATAGATCTTAATTTTGACAGTTTCTGACACCATCTTGTTTGGAGGGCAAACACAGCAAAATAACAGTAAATGTAGTGGAAAAGTGGAGAATCTAATGTCTTACAGCTCACAGAAAAGTCCACTTCTCAAATGTTCCAGAAAGATTATATACCAGGCACAATAATATACTGATTAAATTTGAGGGAAATAACCCCTCTAGAACTGCAGCCACAATTAAGGTTGCATTCATTTGTCTGTAAAACTGAGTTGCAATTCATGGGAAAATTCAGAGACATTTGGATGAACACTTAAAAGCAGGATTCCTTGCCTTATAGCAAATTTGTGTTCCTAAACCTTCCGCTGGGTATTTTTTCCTTGTAACTCACAAAATCTCTGGAAATTCAATCACTCTCAAATTATTGGGCATCAAACTCATACATTTACTGTAATTTGTACCTTGTTTGCCCCCTAAGAAGATGGTGTCAGAACAGTGGAAACGAGGTTTGTCTGTTCTAATTTAGCTTTATACCTTGTATTGAAAACTTTGGCTCTTGCCTTGACACCAACATAATCTCCCTAATTGAATAGATGGTCTGTTTAGCTTAGGTGCTTTGTTGCCCCAATTCAGACCTTGTGAAGATACTCTTGAAAATAATTCTTGCTTTCAAATTTTTAAATAGTAGTGTGTATATGAATGAATAATTTTTAGACAGATTAAAGAACAATTCTGTGTAGCTTATTTCTTTGCAAAATTCAACCAACCACTTACATAAGAATCATGAACCCCTCTCAGGGGTGAGACAACTTGGGTGGGCGAGTTGTCTCGCCTAGGCAGGTAGGGTAACCCTGGCAAGCGGGAACTCTGTTCTTCATGTAGACACTTTGGCTTGCCTAACCAGGACAACTCTCAGCATGGCAAGTGTCACATAATGCCTAGATTTGGGATTTAAAGCAGAAATTCATATCGAAGAAGTGAAAATTAACTCAGCAAAACCCACTGTGATTGAATGATCATGACCAAGGGAAACTGAAGAGAGGTATATTCGTACATTTGATTATTTGAACGAAGGGTTATCAATAATCATGCAGGGTCAACTTTGACTCGGCCCACAGCCGCGGGACTACACTTTCACATGTAAACGTTCGATAAAGTTGCCTTGGAGGGAGGGTTGTCTCGGGTACCCAAGACCATATAAATCGGGCCTAAAGAGGCTCTCCACACATTGGTCCATCATGCACCTCACTGAACGGTCTCGCTTACCGGAGCAGTCGCTTACGAGAACTTTTAATTACAAAATTTAAGTCACAGTTCAAAAGGGGTTTCACAAAGGTGGTCGCAGCAGGAGCTGATCGCTTACGAGAGTGGCCAAAGGGAGAGCTTCGACTATAGTTGGTTTTGTAAGGAACTGAGTTATCTTTGAAAAGATTAAGATGAAATAAATATTTTCTCACCTTTCCCAGATGATGAACGCAAGCCAGCCATCAACTAAGCGGTCAAACACGTAAATTCTGTACAGAAACCTGTGCCTTACCACTGTCAGATACAGAATTCTCGGACGAATTCGCCTGAAACCCTATCTGCCATTTTAAGACAAGAAGACTCCTTCTTATAGTCGCATTTCACAAGGAAATGAACTGAACATAAAAAGAATGTCACCTCCTACGATATTCTCAGGAAAAGTTCGCCAGTTTCCTAACACCTCCAAGACACTGCTGCTGTCAGAAACTCGGCCGACCTTTTGGCAGCCATCTTTAAAACACCACTCCAACTTAGCGGCCATCCCTTTTAATCCCAGTCTCTCGCAGAAAAAAGGCGCGAAACTTCTCACAGTTCCATGCAATTTATACTCCGATCCAACAACAAAAGTTGTTCTTTTTGAGAAAACTTATTTCAAAAAGTAATTAACAATCATTGTTTGACGTGAATAATGGCTATACACCAAGATTGTTAAGGAAAATTGTTTTAGTATTTACACACGTTGTGAACTCCTCGATCTCCTCTCAATTCCCGCGTACGCGGTAAAGCGGTTCAAGGCATGCGCGAAACTATTTACAGAATCTTCAAACATGGCAAATCTGGTCAATCTGCTATGAAATCCACGTCCCAATCTCGCAAAATGGTCCTTTAACATCGTTCAATCAGCAATTTAAATCAAAGGCTGCTTGCAAAACATTTTCACCGTTCAATCAAATTTTTTAAGTTCTTTTCAAATGAAATTGAAAGAGCAGTTGGCGAAAGATCCACATGAATTTATACCATGTGCTCAGGACTGTGGTGAAATTTGGATGTTCTTTTCTTCATGTTCTTGCATAAAGACGTTCTGAATATTTGTGGCTCAGGTGCCTGGTTAAATAGCAGTTGATGCTTCTGCAGATAAACCCCAAGGTGTTCATTTCTGCCAATGCCGGGCGAAGAATGACTTGGCCGTTTGGGTTTGTGATTGCCAAGGACATGTCTTGAAACTGCTCGAACGTCCAACGTCAGTAAGTCTTTTCTTACTTTTAAAAACTTTTAGGCCAAATTCGTAGTTTTCTTTGTATTTTCCCCGGCGTACAGCATGTTTTTCTTTTCTGGCGATTTCCAATTCAGAAACGCTGGCGAAACGCGAGTTTACGCCGGCCACTTTGTTTTTGTTTGAATCACATATTAATCACTCGCTAGATAGTGAATAATAAAAATAAAAACGGCACCAAAAATTTCGCCGACGGATATTTACAATATTTGTATAGCATGGTATAATGGCTCAGTTGTATACCATGAGAACTAAGCTAATGAAAACTCTTGAATTGCATTGTTCACTGATCCTGTTTTTAATGATTAGCCAGAGTTTGCGAACCAATCAGATTGCTTGAAACGCCAAGATCACTGAGTGTGTATATGCTAATAACTATTTTATTTAACGTCAGAGTATTTCTTTTTTAATATTTCATTATGTTTGCTCACACTTTACAATGCTTATACTACTGTTTTATACCAACACAAAACAATAAACTGAAGCTACTTACACTACTTATACAACGCAGCTACTAACACTATTTACAATACTAAGGCAATGTCAGAGTATAATAGCAGTATCATTGAGTAACTGAGAACAAGAAACTTTAAACGGCTACAATAGTTTTAACAACTTAATAAGATACAAGCTAGTAACTAAATACATACGTAAGAATCGTAAATCTTTACGATTTTATAACAACATATCATTTGTATCTGTGGCTATGTTACGATGTAACAATGTAATGTAACAATGCTAAATAGCGTTAATTAACTGTAAGACGGTAAGCAGGCCATTTCTATCATTATATTTTATTTGACTAGTGCTGTTGTTAAATGTCTCCGTTCGTTTTCTTCCATGACTTAACTGAACAACAGAGAAAAAAATCTTCATAGTCGCGTATCTCTGCTTTCCCTAGCTGAATTAGTCTTTATATTACACAAGAGAGTGTGATACATTTGTTTGACTCTCGATGTAAACACAAATGCCAGCGCTACGTACAGTCCTTGAAGAGTGGCGAATATGATAAACGGGTATTCAAAAAAATCAGAAACCAGAACCTGTAAAAATCCGAATATCCAAGTAAAGCCCATCAAGATGAAGATCTTTAAAAACACCACGGCAGTTTTACGTTTCACCGCTTCATGTGTTGCTCTTTGCGCCTGCTTGTTCGTTTTCCAGATAGCTCTTACAGTTAAAGAAAAACATACCGCGTTGAAAGAAATAGAAAAAGCAACTGGTAAAACAAAGAAAAACAAATTTGCAGATGAGTTGTTTATCCAACACCCCTTAATACCGCCATAGTGAAAAGCAACCGCGTTGGTCTGGTCAAGAGCAACACACGTGACAACAAATACAAAAGCGGGAAGCCAGCCAATCATTGCCCTTTGCAATAACTTACAACGCTTTTTCTTCCTGCTTGGTTTCCTGTGTTGGATGCGGGTTTTGGAAAATATCTTCCAAGTTTCAAAGGAGATGACTGACATCCACGTGAAAGAAACTAGGAAAAAGTAGTGCAACAAAATGGCGATAATTATACATGCAAATTTGGCCTCAACATAGCCTGTTGCAAGAAAAACCAAATCTACCAGTAATTGTGACAAAGAGAGATTCATGAGATTAATACCGGGTACAGTACGAAGTTCCTTAAATAATGAATAAGTCAACAAGACTAAAACAAAGCTTATAATGGACAGAGAAAGTCCACCATAGGTAAGGACCACCAAGACAGTGTTACTATCTGTTTTCCTTGGGGGACCAACGCTCATTGATGATTTGTTATGAGAAGAAAACTGTGTGCATACCCAAATGGTATCATTGATCCAGAGAAAACTTTCCTGTTCCAAGAGTTCTCGGGAAACGTTTCGATAGAGTGAGCCATTTGTTAAGAAAACGTACTCGTCTTCAGTTAATCGAATTAAAACCCCAGAACAATTTAACCGCGGCTGTTTGCAGACTGTAAGAACACCGACAGGAACTAGTGATCCGTTTTTCCATTCCGTTTCGTTCGTGTAATAGTCGACCTCTTGATATATTTCTCCTGTATTGTTGATTTTTACTGCGTTTCTTTGAAAGTGGTATTCATCTGCGTTGAAAGTTTCAATTTTAGCACAGTGAAAAAGTTTCACAGTGACCTTAAAGAAAGTAAAGTTTGCACAGTTTAGAGTAATGGAAAGAGAATTCATGGTCGTTTGGAGAGATTGAGTAGAGAAGTTCTTCTGTATCGTGGGGTTCATATTGATGTTGAATACCACAGTCGACACAGGACCAAACGGATTTCCAATAGAGATATTGGAAATTAATGTTTTGTTTATGTTTAACTCATTCGCTATGGCTTCTTGAAAGTTCACCTCAGTTATCAGAGGAAGCCAAGATGACGGGATCCCGGAACGCATCCAAACACTGACAATAAACATTTTTTGACGGGCAGCAGTTGCATCAGATGGTTTGATGCCAGGACGGCACGCTTCAAGATAAAAATCATAAACGTAGCCTTGCTCAAGACAAGTAACCTTAAGTCCACGTACTTCCGACGTTTCACTCCCGCGGTGCTCTTCTTTCGAAAAGTCAAGATTTAAAACAAGAGAAAAGGGTTTTGCGAGGTTCCCATCGGTACTGGAAGGATAAGGTCCTGGTCCACAGGTAAAGTTTTTCACGAAACTGCAAAGGGCACAGTATGGATTGAAAAATGTTTTCAGTTCAAAACCAGCAGTTTGGTACACAAGCCTCAGAGATCCGTTAAGACATTTTTGCTGCACTTTTGAAGGAAGAGAAATGTCGCTGCAGTAATTATTAGGCTCCAAACTGTGACAATATCTGCGGGTCGCTCCTTCCGGAGGTTTCCAGAAAGGACGATCGCAGAAAGTGGAAAGAAAGCTCAATATTTCTTTTCTTTTGTACTCTTTTGGCACTGGAACATCGCAGTCGAGTTGAAAATTATAAAACTTCAGCTCGGTTAGATTGAAACCATGACATTGAGCACAGTAACGATTTTTATACGTTTTTCCTGTTCGGTCGATAACAGGCACGTTGTCCTTAAAATTATCGAACGAAGGAAGTAAATCTTTACTGCAGTTTTCCTTAATATCAACTTGAGTCACATTTCTAGGACACGAGGAAATCATCCACACACCAGCGACTTTGGTGAAAGAGTTATAACTAGAGACACATTCCCACAGACCACTGCCATCCGGGTTCGCCGTACCTTGTGGTGATATCCCGGATGAGGAACAAAATTGGTCAAAGTCCGCGCAGCAGTCTCTGAAAAACTCACAGCTTCTGTCACAGAAACACTGAAGCCGTTGTTCTGTTCCTCCCAGTTTTCTTTCTTGCGTGCACCGCCCTCTGCAGGAAAGCCAGTAACTTTGACAGTACAAGGTGATGTTTACATCTTTGTTAGTCCACAAAGTTAGCATCGTTGGTGCAGAAGATTGTAGGGGAACACTTGATGTTATGTTATCGGTACCGTTCACGTTGTCATCGGTACCGTTCACGTTGATATCGGTACTGTTCAAGTTGTTATCGATACTGTTGATGTTGTTATCGGTACTGTTCACATTGTCATCAGTACTGTTCATGTTGTTATCGGTACCGTTCACGTTGTTATCGGTATCATTAACGCTGTTCAGGTGATCTCGATTCTGATCATTCAGTGAAGCTGGGTTGATATCTCGGCGCATCCTTTTCATGTTGCTCCCTGGAATTAGCATTTAAGTCGTTAGCAGGATTAATTGTTTTATACTATTGACCTCGGAGACCAGGGTCTATGTTATAAGCAGGCTGGGGGGGGGGGGCACTGCCATATATGGGCTA